AGTATTACATGGCGCTATTTTTAGCGCAGGGGCATGAGGAGAGTTATTGCGTATAAAACAGGTTCTCGGCGGACTTTATGTTCTTATTACATCTATTAGAACTGTTTCATAAAGGCTAAATAAATCAAACACTATGGATTGTGTAAAATTTTGAGAAAACCGAACATGAAAACATGAATATATACATGTATGTGACTTCAGTTCTGCATATACTTCTATCAGCGACTCCGTGGTCTAGTGGTTATGTCTCTCGCTTCAAATGTGAGAGGTCCCGGGATCGAATCTCGATCGGTCGAACCTTTCATTTTTTTTTTTTTTTTTTAAATACTTTTTTTTTTTTTTACTAAATGATAGTATTCAGCATGTGAAATGAAAAATTTATGAGGTTATAAAATCATCATTACAGTGTGATAAAAATTCCTTATAAAAAAATCTTCCATATACATAATGAAGCATAAGCAATCAAATCTTTATATGCATATTGTCATACATGTATTTTATTTGCTTCAGTATACATGTATATACATTTAATAATTCTACAGATTCAGTCAGGGGGAGCCGACCTTTTCCATAAGTGGGGGACACGAATTCTCTGAATTAGCTTGTTCATGCGTGCGTTTATTGCAAAGATATGACCGAGCCAAACTTTGTCTTACTGTCGGGGGTTCGAATCCCGCTCGGGGCGTTCCCCAAATTTTTTCTTTGTTTTTGTCTTTTGTCAGTTGCGGATTACTTTTCACTGTTTTATAACATGTTTGGAAGATTTTGCCGATTTTTAAAAGCTATATTTGGAGATATTTTGTGAAATACCTGGAACAATCACGATCTGTGTTGAGAAACTACTGTTAAAGAACGTAAACGAAAAAATACATTATGAAATCTATTCCATGGGATGACACAGCATAGATTGCAAAACAGAAGTCGGTCAGAAGACCTGCTTGTTGCCCAAGCAACAAGAACGCATCTAGTTATTATTATTTTTCTTCTTCCTGGGAAAATCTTTTCCGCGAGTGATCTTGTAAACTACACATCCGACTTAGGTGAAACTTTTTTAGGGTCAGTAGGCATGTTATGTAGATTTGCGGAACGAAGGTCATTTTGCGTGCACGTGCTTGCAAGAGCGTGCATGTGCAACACGTGAAATGACCAATATAAAGGATATAGCCGAATCTTTTCTATTTTTTGATGAAATGTTTTGAAACTCATAATATAAGGATATATAAGTATTATAGACAATATGACAAAATAGCAAGATCTCACGCGCATGCACTTGCGCTTCACTCTGATTGGCTGAAACTAAAGTCTCAATATCTTTCTTGTTTTTTGACAAAATCCTTTGAAATTTTGAACATAGCCATGCATTAGGATATCCTACAACATGGTATATTGCAAATATCATGAAAACACGTGTGTGTACATGCACTGCAATCTGATTGGCTTAAATTTTGAATAGCTATAACTCCCTTGGTTTTTCAACTAAACAGGATGGGATTTGGAACATAGATAGATATAATTGACTTCTACAAGAAGGTATGGTCTCCATGCACATGCATACACGTGCGTGTACATGCACTCCAATCTGATTGGCTTTAACTTTAAAAAGCTATAACTCCCTTGGTTTTCAACCAAATGGGGTGGGATTTAGAACATAGATAGATGTAATGGACTTCTACAAGAAGGTATGGTCACCATGCTCATGTATGCACGTGCCTGCACGTGAAATGATTAAAATCAAACATACACTTGAATAAGCGTATTTTTTTAATTACTTTTGGATTAAATGCTTTAATATTTAGTATATAAAAATATATAGATTGTGTAGACAAGATGATATGGTCATTATGCACATGCATTCACATGCACACGCGTGCAATGCTAAAATTTGAATGAACTTAGGACACTTCTGGGTAAACGTTATTAAAGTCTCAAATGCATTGAGTTTGTCTTATTTAATGAAACTTACAGGGAATATGGCACCAAAAGGGAGTTGGGGAGCATTTGGGGAACATCTGTAACGGTCCCTGTTACAATTAGCACTAGTTCAGGTTGCTTTGAAAAGTTCCCAAAGATAGAATTTTATCTACTGGTAATTTCTGTCCAAGAAATACACTTAGGGATTACATATAACACTGAAATATATAGTAAAAATCTTTAAAACTTTTCTCAAGATCAGTTGGTCAGAAAAGCTGAAAATTATGTGGAAGCTTCCTAAGGTAGTGTAGATTCTACAATGTATAGATCATATACCTGTCGCCCGTTTGGCAAGCAAAATTTTACTTGTTTGTGGGAATGCAATCTTATGATTAACTTGTATTATATAGAGGATCCAATAAACCAATATGTTGATAAAGGTATGGCCGGTGTGAATGTAAACTGAGGAGTAACCAACTATACTTAAGAATAGCAGTCCCCCAGTAACAGTGACAATTCCACTATAGTTTTAATGTTTTGCACCTGAAATTGAAGATTCCGGGGTATAAAATTTTTGCTCTGACCGTCTGTCTGTCTAGCTGCTTGTGTGCAAAAACTTTAACCTTGCCAATAACTTGATTGGTTGGAGCTACATGTATATGACTCTCGTACTTCACATGTGTATTCCTTGTGACAAGCCCTTTCTTTGGGTATCAACAAATACCATACCAAATGTCATGTGAAACTGCATACAAGACTGCAGTAACGACATTCTCATCCTTGTGCAAAAATTGTAATTAACAAGAATATAAAAAGGTAAAACAATTCAAAATTTAATTTCTTGTTAGGGTAAGTGCTTCCAAGAATGATGAACATAAGAATATCACATAACATAATAAATGCCTAGCACAATGTATATCATACATTCCTGATAAATGAAACTGTGGTAAAAACTATTTTATACTTTATATAGAAATAGTATTTGTGCAGAGTTGCTTCTTATGTCAGTAAATGCAAAATCCAAACAGGTTCTTTTATGAAAATACACATAAAAGTAAAACTTAAAAAGATCAACAACAAAGCTGTCCATTGACAGATGTGTATATGTGTTTGTCACCAAAATGGAATTAATTTGTCTTGTGTAAGTCCTGAACTATCTGAAATCACAGCAGAAAATGGCACTCGCAACACTTCTAGGTGTAGGCATGAACAATGATGTGTTCTTCCAGCACCTACAATATAATGAAAAAAAATGTATTCAAGGACCTGTGTGGTTAAATGTATGTAAAATTGTAAGTTCCTGTCAAATATTTTTTTAGTCAATTAAATCTGATTTTTTTTCTCATTTACTTCTCAAAGAATATACATGCAGGTTATTTTCAGGAAGCAAATGGAACATTCCATCTTGTTTCCATGCAATCCTTTCACTTGTCAAAAGTCTATATATTGGTACATCTATTTCTTGTCACAAGCCTACATACATCTTTGACTTGTCATACGTACATCTTTTGGGGCAGTAGACTGGAATCTCTCTTTACAGTTCCTCCATGGACAGTGGGTCTTTTTGCCAGCTCGGACATTGTTTAAGATGTGATCATGAACCACATGGTATACTAGATGACTCCTCAAGGCAAACACAAAACTACAGTCTGAACACTGCAAAGATATCATTCTAAGAATAAAATCAAAGGTACATCCATAAAATCGCAAAAAATACCTGTCAGGCTGAAAAGAAATTTTAAAGTAACAATAAAATACACTGATAGGGAACCTACTTATAATGAATTGACACATATAGCAAAGTGATTTCATGCCCTGTGACTTTAAAATATATTGTAAAGTTAATGCATATACATGTAACATTTAACACACAAACTCACCTGACAGCTGTGATCCTGCTGAGTTATAGGGACGGCCTCTGTTAGTCCTTGTCTGTTTCCCGTGATTAACTGTTTGAGAAACATAAATACAAACATCAGATCACCAAACATCACTGTAAATTCTTCATGTGTAGAAATCACATTAAATATCTCACCATTCCGTCACTTATTCTCATTCGGATGATTAACCCCTCCCCTGCCCCAGCTCCGTAATAAAGGCGTAACAACTTCCGACTCTGGAAATAAATACAAGAAACTGGTTATGTGTATATGCTTATCCTTGATAGGTGAAAAACTAAATTTGTCAACCTCTATGAAATCAGTAATTTTTGTGGGGGTTTAATTTTCGTTCTTTTGGAGGTATGAAGAGATCCACAAATTCATGTCCACCACAAAAAAGCAAAATGTAATATTTGACTGCTCAACAATTGTTCATCCACGAAATCAAATCCCCACGAACCCGAAGATTTTCCTAAAACCACAAAAATTTGACTCCACGAAAATATTCAAATAAATTTCATTATATCAGCCTAGCTTTCTAAAAATTAATTTATACACAGTATAGAATTTATACATTATTGTAGAATCAATTTTAAGTTACAATATGTTCATTTTCAGATTGAACAAAAAAAAATTGATATGAACCCACAATTAAAAGAAAAAAATAGCAAATAGAGGGACATAAAAAAAATTGTTGATTTAAAATGGTGTGAGAAAACATTGTTCAAGTGAAAGCTCTTAAAATCATAAGACAAGTACAGTGTAGTACATATGTACACATTATCCACAAGTATCTTTAATACATCATGATTGTTTTCCCATTCCTGAAATAACAAACATTTATTATGTTTATTATGAGTTATCTACCTTTTTGCTGTAGCAGCGAATCAGTCTATCATAGGAAGCACAAAACAGCTGGTCGCCATGGGTACAGACACATGACACTATCCCAGTAGCCTCTGTGAAGGTCCACAGTAACTCCCCCATCTATGGGTAAATTAATTACTTGTTAAATATATAAATTAATTAATCATAAGATATATCAAGTGCATAACTGACAAAATGCAACATTAATACCATGTTGAACTTCACTCCTAACAGATGTCAAGGCTCCACCTTTGGTGACATGATTTGAACCCAAATTAGCATAGTTAGTTATTAGTATATGACTTATAAAGACCCTACTGCTCTTTAAATATTATTTAAACAATTTTTCCAAATATTCCCATGTATGACTGATATCCTATGGTAGCCCCACCTTGCCTCCTTGGCAAGAATTATTCATGGGAAAACAAAGGTTGCAAAACTCAGATATTTTTTGTTTCCAAATAAATTTAATACAGTACAGTAAATCTCGTTTAGTACGAACACGGAGATTGCGAATTCAAGGAAATAGCGAAGTCATTTTGGATCCCCAGCTAAATAATTTAAATGAATTTCTTATACGGATATAACAAATTATAGTTATAGCGAAGTAATTTCATAGGCCCCCGTGACTTCGTTATAACCGAGGTTTACTGTATTATGTTTAGAAGCTGTAAGTATGTCTCTTCTGGCCCAATGATTCCTGAGATCTTTTAAAGTCATTCAACTTCCTTTTGCCCTTTCTTGATTATCTCCCTTTTAAGAGGGAGTTTTGAACAAATTTCAAGCCTTTTCACCCAATGATTCTGGCAAGTTTGAGTTTGGCTGTTACTGGCCTAGTGGTTTTACTGAAGAAGTTGAAAACATAAAAAAATTACAGATGGACAGGCAGACAAAATGATGTTCCACAAAATATAATCAAGAAATCTCACTTGAACTTTCAGCTCAGGTGCCCTAAAAATGACACACAAAAGACAAACTACAGGACAGTAATGAACTCACCGAGATGTTGTGTTCCATCACAGTTTTGTCCCCTGATCCACTGTACACTAGATGACCATCCACCTTGAATGAAGAATTTGTAAAGATCAACTTTAAAACTGGTTATTCATTAAAAAAGATTTTTTCCTACATATTTTATGTAAAACTTCGATTTCCCACTGTGGCCCCTCTCTACCCTAGGGGACATGATTTAAACAAACTTGAATCTACACAACCTGGGGATGATTCCATATAATAAGACTAATTGTGGCATTTTGTTCTTGAGTAGAAAATCTTTAAAGATCTTTTTTTTCGATATACATGTATCCCTAAGTAAAACTTAGATCCCCCATTGTGGCCCCACCCTACCCCAAGGGCATGCCTTTAACAAACTTAAATCTAAAATACTTGGGGACGCTTCCATATCAATATGACCAAGTGTGGCTTTGTTAATCTGCATATGTAGTTTTCAAGACATTTTTCCTACATATTCTTATGTAAATGTAAAACTTGATCCCTTATTGCAGCCCAAACCTATCCCCAGGGGTCATGATCTGAACAAACTTGAATCTACACTATATAATGAAGTTTCACATATGTTTCAAATGTTCTGGCCCAATTGTACTTGAGAAAAAGATTTTTAAAAGATGACATCAAATTTTCATCAATTCTTAATTAGCTCCCCAAGGAAGAAGACATGGCCCTTCATTTGAATGAATTCGAATCCCCTTCACCTAAAGATGCATTGTGGCAAGTTTGACTGAATTGGTTATAACTGATAATTGACCATTAGTCCTCACCCCCCAGGGTTACACCTTTTGGTTAGATCTGACCCCCTAGTCCTCGCCCCCTTGGGTTACTTGTGGTTCTACCCGACCATTAGTCCTCTCCCCCTAGGGTTACTAGTGGTTCTACCTGATCATTAGTCCTCATCCCTTCGGTTACAAGTGGTTCTACCTGACCGTTAGTCCTCGCCCCCTGGGGTCACACCTCCCTGGCTCTGGGTTACAGCCACCAGCCACTGGTAACCAGGCTCTCCCCCAGGGGTTGTATACAAGCCCTCTCGGCACGACAAGCCCGGTCAGACTCAGTCAAGGAATGCTCTCATCTCACACACAGTAAAGTTATGGTTACTTTACTCACTTTTACATTGATATAACAAAGATCAACCACTGGATGTAAGATGAGAACTTTCAAAAACTGTGAGAGGGGTCACACAAGATTTCTCACTATCTATCTGTAGATATAACGGTACTTTAGTGTGTGAGGGGTCACACATGATTTCCCACTAGATTACCTGTAGGTAGAATGGTCTAGTGTGTCCTTCTAACATTCGTATCATAAGCCTGTACTGTTAGATTTCCCACTAGATTACCTGTAGGGAGAAGGGTGTCTTTGTGTGTCCCTCTAACATTCGTATCAGTAAGCCTGTACTGCTGTCGTACACATAGATCACTGCATCAAATGAGGCTACCAGAATGACCTTACGAACACCCTCTGTGGCTGAGCATATCCGGCTGATTGAACGGTCAGCACAGTGAAACGTGTCCAGAACTTTGTCATTCTAAAAAAAAGTCATAAAATAGAACCGAAGCTCTTAGAAAGAATTTTGTTTCAATCAAACTGTTTTCCTTTGCTGAAAAACAAATTATCATGCATTAATTTAATGACTTCAGTGTAAGTATTTGCTTTTTATTTTATTACCAGGGAATGAACTACATTGTAATACACAAGTTAGTATGAACATTTATACATATTTCTGTAGATAAAAGCATAATATATTTTTAAACAAGAGGCCCACGGGCCTTATAGGTCACCTGAGTAGCATGTAACAACTTTCAAGCGATTGTATTTGGTTCGTGATTTAATCCCAAAGCCATGAAATTCACAAATTTTGAAAGAGGCACCATTGCAAGAGCAGATTTCAAAGCATTAATTTATTTTAAGTCAGTCCCCCCCCCCCCCCCCCGGTACCCCTGACCCAGCAGCCCTGAAATTATCTATTTTGAAAGAGGCCCCTTTCTTCAACATAAGGCCAGCATTTTTTTATTTCTAGGTTTAGTTAAGAACATAATTCATGAAAAAGTCCCGAGGGAGAAGGAAAAAAAAATTTTTTTGGATTAATCAATTATCAACATTTCTACATTCTTCTTTATGCTATCCTAACAAGCTCCTTACCACTGGACACATAATGCTTACAAATAGGAAAGTAGAACATTTAATTGCTTATTTCATCATTGACCAAAATATATTTTAACAAATCAACTCTTTAAAACTCTTTCAATATATCTTCATTTTTTAAATATGTGTTTTATAGGTGAATGTGTAGACATTGTTTTAAAATATACTTGATGCCTAAAATTATAATTCCTATCATAAAACAGACATGGAGTATATTGGGGAGTAGGGTGAACATTTTTTCAATTAAGTGTAAAATAATTTTTCTGGCTGCCACAAACGGTACTACATGCCTGTATATATTTGTATATACTTTCTCTTTAATAGTTGAATTTTTTTTAATTTCTTCAGGTTTTTGTTTATTTCTTCCTCAAATGGACTTAACTTCTCCCATAGTTTTATTCATTACATCTGATGCTTAAGAATGATGCTTAGACTTTAAGCTATAACAGAGACCTAAATAAAGTGCCGCGCCACAGCATGATACGCCCGTCAAAAATTACAATTTTCTTCAACAGTTTAGCTTGCAATCACATCAACCCTGATACTAAATTTCCATGATTTTTCCATTCCTAAAAATATTTTTCCATACCCTGTGATGTAGGCAATAGTTATAGTAAATATTACATCATTGATGGATTTCTATGTTGGGTGTGTTAGACCTTGTAAAATGCCCATCATATTAAACGATATCAAATTAGTCTTAACAAATTAATCTATACCAAATTAATTTTGAAAAGAAAATGCTGGCCATCAAACGACATATGCTATAAACTAACCAACAGTTCTTCTGTTTAATTCCCAAAGGTCATTATACAGCTTTATCAGAGTAATTAAGACAGCTAGCCTAAACTCATTAATTAATCTTTAACTGGATGCTTGTCTACTCATTAATACCAATAGATGAATGGGTCTGCACTATCTACCATAACTTTTTTTAAAACAAATGAAATACTCAAAGATTTTTTTTTGGTTGACATTTAATGTCCGACAGGTTTTAATATAAAATTCATATGGACATGCTGATTCCACCCCAATCCCATAAAATTAGTTTTTATAAATGAACAATTTTATATAATATAAGATTAGTCTACTATGCAATATTAAATTAGTTTTAATTACTTTTCATTATATTCATTTTAAAACTTAGGCTAGCCAGCAAGAGCTATTTTTAATCCAACAGGCTCACACATTTGCCCAATACTCAAGGGATATAGATAACACCATGCTCTAGCTATTAGCGAACTCCTCACACTCAAAACTCATTAATTTCTCTCTAATTTGACATGCAATTTTCTGTTATCAAAATTCTTCTTGAGTCTTGACCAGTGCTTGATAATTACACTCATGGGAGAGGTAGGATTTCTTTAACATACATAATATTTGTTTTAGATTGCTGTCAAGTACAGCTGTATATGCTTTAAAAAAATAAGTATTTTCTTGATTTAACACTTTTTTAATAAGGACAGTGTAATACTCTTACATTATTTGGGATGTGTAAATGAATAGTAAAAAGACACATTTTTTTTTTAAAATTTCATTTAAATCAAAGGTCACTGTGACCTTGAAATAGGTCGCGACACACCTTCTACCTAAGATGCATAAACTGGCCAAGTTTGATGATTGTAAGTCTTATAGTTTTCTAGTTATGGGCCGGAAAGGATTTTTCCTTATTTGGCTATATCTTCTTAATTAAAGGTGAGAGTGACCTACTTTTTGTGCACGACACACCTTCCACCCAAGATGCATCAGATGACAAAGTTTGATAATCCTAGGCCTAATAGTATTAAAGTTATGAGCCGGAAACGAAAAGCTAACAGACAGACAGACGGACAGACGGACGGACACGAAGCCTATAACATAATACGTCCCGTCTTAAGACGGGCGTATAACAATGTTGCTGGAATAGCTACCACGGGCAGTTTTAAACCTGTGGGGAGGAAAATAATTCACAGACAGATACTTTTGATTGAAACGAATACAAAATTATCTCACCAGCATGTCACTGTGTAGATAGAACGTTCTATCGTTAAAATGATATTGTCCTACGGACCCGGTTTAACGATAGAATTCGTTCCGTGTATTCGTAATGTAGCAAACGAAACACAGGCGATAACTCGAAGAAAAGTCGTACTAGTGCATTTACTAGGAACAATCTAGAGAGTTCCGAATGTAAACATGGCAGGTAAATTTGAAGCGAGAGAAAAACGTTGAGAAAATTAATTGGATTTTCGTCTTTAGATGGATTATTTTCTGGGATAAAAGGCATAAGCAATCTCAAAAAGGTTTGTTTTGATTATTTTGGTAGTTATTTCCAGTGCAAATCATTTTATATTCTTCAAAATCGTTTCGGAGCGGCTCCACTCCGATTTGCTACATTGCAAGTATATGGGATGTATTCTAACTGTGGTGAGGGCTTGTACGGAGACACAGTTAGATTATTTTAACTAGTCACTGTGCAACAAAGTCGTCAGCATTTTATTTGTTCTTTGAACGCGTGAAACGTTTTGAATGGCACTCTTATCGATGAATTTTACAATAAACCAAGCTATCTTTGCAGATCTAGCTTTGTTACCCGCCAAGTTTGTTTTAAAACTGGAAGTAGGAGTTCGTAAATTTGAAATCTCGATCCCGACTCAAATTTGACATCAGTAGGAAAAAAAAATGTTTTTTTTAATTTTTTTCTGAAAATGCGGTGGGTTTGTAAACCTGAAAATAAAATAAATCCTGGCCTTGAATATGTAATAAGATCATTGGCATATTAACCAGGAGCAAAGGATAAGATGTTCAAAGAATTCATGCATTTCACTATATAATCATTAGAGCCCCACCCTAAAACAAAAACCCCTGACCCAGGGGCCCTGAAATTCACAAATTGGGAAGAGGCAGTCTTATTCAACATAACTATGTACTTGATTAGTTTATTTAATGTCCAGGAGTAGAGAAGAAGATTTTTAAAGAATTAATGTATTTTCACTATATAATCAATAAAGCCCCACCCTAGCACTAGAACCCCTGACCCTGGGGCCATGAATTTCACAATTTTGGTAGAGGCCACCTTATTCAACATAACTATGTACTTGGTTAGTTTATTGAATGCCCAGGAGCAGAGAAGAAGATTCTCAAAGAATTTATGCATTTTCACCATATAATCAATGGATCCCCACACTAACACCAGAACCCCTGACCCTGGGGCCATGAATTTCACAATTTTGGTAGAGGACTCAATACTGATTACAGTCATGCAAACAGTTTGACTGCTTGATGTCCAGGAGTAAAGAAGAAGATTTTTAAAGATTTCATTAATTTAACAGGTTTTTGCCCCACCCCTCAGGCCCCAGGGGGGCAGGGACCATGAAATTCACAATTTTTGTTCCCCTTCACCCATAGATGCTTTGTGCCAAATTTGGTTGAAATTGGTTGAGTGGTTGCAGAGAAGAAGCTGAAAATGTTCAATTGTTAACGCACGGCGCACGACGGACGACGCACGAAGACGGACGCAAACAGATAGCAATAGGTCACCTGAGTTTACTCAGGTGACCTAATAAAAGTCTTTGATTTGATGGCACATGGCTTTTCAACAGGTCGGAGAGAATACTCGAAATCGGGTATTATCCGTGAAATCGCGTATAATACCCAATATTAGGGTATCGTTGAATCCGCGAAATCCGGTATAGGAGGTGTTATCACCTAATAAAACTTAAACAATGGGATGTCGCATGTTGCCGAGTTAACTTTCATCTAGATACCCATGTTTTCTAAAGGTATCACTAGCCAAGTAAGAATTTGGGCGTCAAGATTAATGCGCTCAGGACAACAAATACCCGTGGAGGTCAGTACATTTCATGATCTGCACACAAAAAGGCGTTCGATTTGCTTTATATTTTTCATAATGTTGAAAGTATATGCATCTTCCTAATGTTCATTCCCAACACAACAGAATGTTAAAGTATCAGAATTCGGGAATTTATAATAATTCCACATCAACACGACAAACATGAACAATTTGTAAGTAAATCAAATTATACGGAAACACATTTCACACACAAGATATGATGCCATGTATAAACAAGGGATTGTCTATCGTATCTAATTATGCGTCATTAATTACTTTCACAATCATCTTGTACATAAAATCAAATTTATTCATGAATGTATGAATAATGTAATGATAAAAATGTCTAAAATTTCTTTTAAAAAAACTTCTTTTTTTTTTTTAAATCTTTTTTTTTATCATTCATACATATTTGGCCACATATTTGCAGAATATGTCTTCAACATTTTAGCAGAGACAGTAATAGTTTCAGGAATACAGCTTATGAGAGAACATAACTGTTGATCGTTTAATTTCGCTAAGACATCAATATTTTACCATTTCTTGTCGACTTCAAAGGAGGGGGGGGGGGCTAAAGGCTTCTTGACCACCTCTGACAAAACAACCTCGACTGTGTTCTACAAGTGTCTCTTTGAAAGTCACGGTCGATTAAACTCGGTTATATATTTTTAATTGTAGGGAAGATTTATTCATCAAATAAAAATTATATAGGTAAACAAAAAGCAACCTGTTATTTTCTAACACAATATGAGACTACAAGTAACTAGAATTCATGTTTATTTTTTTAACACATTTTTTCATTATAGATGAGTATTAGGAAATGTTATTGCCATGAGTAATAAGTATCATAGATAAAATAACTAAAAGAAAACTGTGACATATAGTCTAGAACCAATCAGATAGTGCGCTGTATTTGCATATTATAATGAGGTATAAGATAGCGATATAAGAAAAATATAGAAGGTAAAGAGGTAAAATTTACCCTGTCTATCAAATAGTATAATAAAGAAAGGAAGTGGTTACAAATTTTATGAAATTTTAATGTCCGATGAGGAATTATATTCCCAAAGAGTAAGACAAGAGTTTCCAAGGCAATTGAACACTCCATTATTTAAGTTTGTTCATTAACATATTCATAAATGTAAAAAACTATAAGAAATGTGAAATTTTGGCTATGCAATTCATATTTCAATATGACTGTACCTCGATCTATATTGAGAAATTCAATGTATTATAAGCTCATGAAAAGATGTACACATTTGACTTTTATTTATACCCCCCCCCAAAAAAAAATCCTGTTCATATGACTTCTCGCTCTCAATTATCATTCAAATGCATAAAATAAAGAAAAAATAGCATATCTTGTATCGATTAAAATGCAACCAAAAAATTTACGGTGTCTTTGAATAAAAATTTCCATGCTAAATTGACATAAAAAAGATACTCACCTTCAATTAGCAATTTTCAACCTGTTTTCCCGTGGGTATTTATTTAATCTTATTTTATTTTCTTCTTTATAATAACGTTGGTATTCTATTAGGGCAGAGATATACAATCATGACTCGCTTATACTGTACTCTCTAACTGTTAGGAATAATTTATATTTCACGTGAAAGGGACACCATACATTTTTCAGTAAAAATACATAACCCGGCGTTAGTCGTTTAATTTCTTTCAAGTTTCACATTTTGTGAATAGTGCACAAATTAGAAAATTAAGTATATGGAATACTTTAATGGGAAATAAAGACAAACGAAGTGTAGTTATTTGTTTTTAGAAATTATACTGAAAAATAATAACGCCATTGTGTCCTCTTTGTTACCCCAGCAGTGTTTGTCGTGTGATTTTAAACTTATTTGACAACCGTATGAATTAGGTTTAATAAAAATAAATCCCCAAGATACTGATGTACAAGTAACAGTAACTGGCATAATGTGCCGTTGCTTTATTCTTTTGTTTTTAAAGAAAGTTGCACGGAATACCCGATTTCACGGATTCAACGATACCCTAATATCGGGTATTATACGCGATTTCACGGATAATACCCGATTTCGAGTATTCTCTCCGACCTGTTCAAGTAAACTTAATCACAGATTTTTTATCACACTCTGCCTCAATTATGGTTTATGTATTTATATAATTCACAATTCTGACCTTTAATGACATGACCACCACTGTCCCGCAGTCGGTGCCTATATATAGATGACCCCAGCTCTCCAGGAAACACTGGGGTTTGCCTTCTGTGGGCTCCACCTTCAGCGGCTTCTTTGTCTGGCAAACAAATAATAATAAAATACCAAAGTAAAACCCATTACTTCTTTGTAAATGAAACTTTTTTTTTTCAAATATGTACAGTGAATTCTCTGTCTTTTTGGGATTTTTATTTTCAGACGTAGAAATTTTATACAGGTACAGTATATACTGAATTACTCATGAGGCCAACATTGTTATATACATTATAACATGTATAACTTTTTAGGTTTGTTTATAACAAATTAAGATAACTGAAGCTCACCTTACAGCAGTAGGTCAGAAGCATCATCTCTTGTGCTCCAACATAAAGCTTGTTTGTTTCTTTAGATACAAGGATACAACTCACATTGTAACTCATCGTGTTAAAATCAAAATCCAGTTCTCCTGTCTGTGTGAGAAAGAAAAATTCCACATCAGTATACATGAACAGGACTGAAATAGCAACAGTTTTTTTCATTTCAAAATTTCGATTCATTTGCTAAACAGAAGCTGTTTCTCCTCAAAGATAACTTGAAGTAAAGAATGCCCTCATGATCTATACTAACAGAAAATTTGGTTTGCATCAGAAAATCAAAATTTTAATAACTAATAACAAGACAGATTGAAAATTCCCTGATCCAAAAACAAAATTCCAATCCATAGAAAACATTATAAGATAAAATGACCCAGTTTACCTGCAGGTTGAACCTTTTGATGATTTTTCCTTGGTAAGAGACATACAGGAAGCCGTCGAGCACCTCGATACCCGAGATGACCTCCTTTGGTCCCGTGTATTGGACGGGGTCGCTGTGGGGGGAGGGTAAAGAGTCCTCAGGGATCTGCAGCGCGGACAGACTCAAGGTAGACTTCATATTCTCAACCGCCTTCCTGAAATTCTCCATTACCTCCTTGTCCAAAGATAATCTTCAATAATAAGGTTATTCACACTGTACATTACACAATATACACCATACATCATTCATATACACAGTATTAATATAAACTATAGTATACAGTATTCATTTACTGTATACCCGGTAATATTCATGTACACTCAAATCATTCAAATACTAAGCCCTATAAAAATTAACAATTTTTCACATATATTACTACTGAACAACCACAAAATCAAATCCCCTTGAACCAAAATATTTTCCTCAAACCATAAAAATTTGACCCCTCAAAAATATGTGATTTTACAGTCCCTGACCTTTCCCTGGCCTCAATACACAAAGTAAGACAACTGTATAAGTAGTGACCCTGACCTTTCCCTGGCCTCAATACACAAAGGCTGACTTCGATCATGAATTTGAGTAACTGTTGTTGAACTAGAGTAACATCGAACCCGATATAGTTAAACTGGAGTGACGTTATTTTTCTACCATAGTTCTACCCTCGTGTTTCCGTTGGTAGAACTATGGTAGAAAAATCACGTCACTCCAGTTAAACTATATCGGGTTCGATGTTACTCTAGTTCAACAACAGTTACTCAAGTTCATGATCGAAGTCAGCCAAAGTAAGACAACTGTATAAGTATTGACCCTGACCTTTCCCTGGCCTCCACGGCCAGCTGTCTGTTGTCCTCTGACTCAGTCTCTAGCTGTACATCCTCCAGCAGACTCCGTCCTGACATCACTTCCTGTTTGATCCGTACACTCTGTTCCGTGTCCTCTGACCCTGTTTCCACGAGCCCCGCCTCCTCTGGGTCCAGACCCTCAGCCCTCAGAGCGGCGGGGATGTTACTCAGGGACTGACCACAAAAAGAACAAAGGTATGACATACCACATCAAAACATTACAATAGACTAACAAAAAAAGAACAAAAAACATACTACACTTAATGTCAAAACATTACAATCTTCCACAATCAATTCACAAGTCACTTAATAAATCATTTTTCTTCTTGTACCTTTTCATTTCTTTTCGTTAATGATTCACAAAAAATTTCATATTTGTAAACATGATATAGTTTCTTTAAAGGTTTTATTTTTGTTTATACATAACTTAAACTTTAAAAAGATTTTTAAATATTCATTACGGTATTTACACCTAAAATACTTGCTACTGGTAATTCTTTGTATAGATTTTAATGCAAACATAATATATTCAAAACTTTAACATGGAAAATCAGTGATTCAATACAGAATAAAACATAATATACCCTACACCACAAAAATAACATGCAAAAAACGTTTTTTCCCACCCCTCCATAAAACCGACACATTCGCCTATAAAGCACATCTATGTCTGAATCCAACCACCAACCTTAAAGACAAGTTGTTGTTTAATGTTGTTCAGTTTAGGAACGCTTTCTCCGTCTTGTGAATTTCCTCCATCTGAGCTGGAATCGAGGACGTATCCCTCTTTCTGCTTTCTCACAGAGGTTCTGTCCCTCTCTTTCTTGGTTCTCAACTTCTTCTTAGAGGGAGACAAGCATCTGGCTTCCTCTTGTGCTGTTTGCTTTTCTTCCCGACCGTGACGTATTTGTTGGTTTGTGGCCGTTAACGGACTGGTGTCCAGATCGAGGTTCCGGAGTCCGGACTTGACCGTCCTGACAGGTGTACAGCTGTCGCTCAGCAGTGCGGGGTCTTCCTGTAAAGTCCTATCACTCCGCCCACTGTCAGAGTCTGTGTTCACCACCACCACATTGTCCTCCGACTGTTTACTGCCTTTTTTGTTCATATTTGCATACTGCCTGATTTGTTCACCCAGGGAGCAGTTACTGTTCACACTTTCGTAGTTTGAGTCACTCAAATGTCCACTCCTGAGGTTCCTAGTTTTACCCTGCCCCCCTCCTCTGTGGTCCTTCTGTCTCTGACCATCCCCCGGGGGAGAGGTTGGTCCCCCTGTTTCCTTGTCCTCTGGCCTTCCTCCTTTGATGAGGGACTGGATATGCTGGTACACATCAGTGTCCTTGTCCAGCACCATGTAGGAGGGACCTTGACCTTTGCTGCTACCTTGACCTTTTCCCAGTTGAGTGAGAAATGCCTTGTTGTCCACGCCCAAAGTTCCCATGTACTGCATGTTGAACTTCTTCGCCTCGTTCTCGTCGCTCTCTCCTCTCCTCTGGCTGTCGTCAGAACGCTGAGAATCCTGTCTCCGGCGTCTCATTAAGTTTGCCAGAGGCTCGTCATCCGAGTCTACCTCCTCCTTCAGATTAGACGTTTTAATTAAAGAGTTCAGAGTGATAAATCCTGCTTCATTAAGCTCTGTACTCTGGGCTATATCTGAGCTGTTCCTAGGGTCACTACTTTCTGTTGTTTTGTTCACTGGGTTCCTGGTGGATTTTACAGGTTTTGGGGGAAGGGAATGAGTTATGTTATGAGAAACACTGGCTTCACTTTGCTTCCTACTTCCCTGTGGCTGGTCTTGGTTTCTGTCCATCGCTGACTTCTGTCTACTGCCCTCCGTGTTTAATGATTTGTCTTTGATTGCAGTTCCTCCGACAGTTCCCTGAGTTGAGGTGACCTGATCGTCTTCTTCAGGCTCCTTTTTAATAGAAGCCAAATCTCTACATAAACTGTGTTCTAATTTGTTCTCAGCCTCCATGGAAATAGTTTCCTGTTGCAGACTTGAGGACAAATTTCTCAACTGAGAAAAAATGGAGTCTGAAGCATGGGAATTAGGGTTAGCGAGAACCGAGGAATTAGAAGTGCCAAACGATGAAGCATAAACCTGTCTATCACGCTCTGGTTCTAGACGCTGGTTACGATTCAAAACATTCAACAAAGTACTTGTGTGAGGGTCATTGTACGATGATACCTGAGGGTCCCGGTGAGGGTCAGGGTCATTAGAGGACGGACCAGGGGTCAGGGCCTTCCCACTCTCCTCCAGGGCTGGGCCCCTGATCTGATCTTCCAGTTCCGAAAGCTGAGGGGTAGACCGACCTGACCGCTGCTGGATTTTGGCCTCTACAATATCAAGTTATTGAAGTTAAGCAGTTAAGAAACAAAGCAACATACAAACAGAATGACTGCTCAAGATAAAATAAACACAAAGCTCACCATGGAGAATTCTCAATCTCTTCCCTCGAAGTTTTTCCTCTTCACTTTGTAACTGTAACAAAAATCAATAGGATAAGTAATTTTGATGATTTTAAAGTGCAGAGATAGATAATGGTAACCTCTTATGAGAAATAAATTTAAGCAATATCTAAGTTTAGTTATCTTAACACCCTCAGTAAAATGCCAAAATTGAATCCTTGCTAAAATTTCTGCATATTCAGTACATAAGTTCTGTTTAGCTGAAAGAAAACTGTCATTAACAAATTGTATAATTTCTAAGAAATATTAAAAAATATTCTGAAATTAAACAGATATTCCATTTCTCTGCAGCTATGTGACATAACACACCCGTAGTTTTTTCTCATTGTATCTGTTGAGCTGTACTGTGGCTTCATCAATCACGTTTCTAAAGTAAGTTATAAACTTTTCCACTTCGTTCAAGTCTTTCCTCAGTGATTCCTCCTTAATGCTAATATCATACACCGTGTCAAAGATACTCTCTGTGGATCTACCACTCTCCAATGAGGACAATGATCCTTAAAAAATCAAATGACATTTTTGTTTTCGATTATTGAAAGTGAGTTATTTCCCTTAAACTTTCTGTTACTGCTAAATAAAAATAAATGCATAAAGATTGAAATCTCAATAAGATTTTTGAATGAAATTAAATCTTATATGTTACCTTTGATTCACATTAAATGATTCAAAATAAACAGTATAAATTAAATAATATTTCTGAAAACCATAAAATTAACACAAACATGATTCTTTCTACATTACACAGTGTACAGTTTTGATAAGAACAATAATAAGATATTACACCTGACAATGTAGGAAGAGAAGCTCCCATTTGTGTGGATGACCTCAGGGGAAAGTGTTCCGAGGACTGAGGCATTCTGGGAGATGGATCGGCAGTAGGTGTGGGCAGTGTTTTACTGGTCTCCCCCAGACTGGTGGTCGACGTCACAAGGCTCGATGCGTTGTCTGGACTGGTAGATCCCTGGGCTGATTTCTCGTGACCTGTATCCATGGGTTCACTCTTCACAATAACAGCAGAATTAGAAGAAAGGTCATTCATTTTCAGTGGCTGTGCAGAATTGGAGTCTATATCTCTCCTGTTTGTTGGTTGTAATTTGTCGGAGTCTGTAGACATGGTTCCTGGCCTTTCTTTTGAGCCACCCTGTAAGGCTCTGTCTAATTCCTGGAACTGGTCTAATGCTGAGACATAAAATGAGCCGGGTCCGGAAGAAGTATCGGACTTACCAGCTTCAGACGTCTCCCTAGTTTTCTTCCCTTTACCAGAACTTGACATCAATGCCTTCTCCAGATCATTTAAGTCTGGTGTGACGTCTGCCTCCATTAGCTGTGCAATCTGAATCTGCACCTCGGGGGACAATTCTTCTAATCTCAGTTCCTCCATTTTATCATCAAAATTATCATCATAACTCCCAGAGAGCTGAAGATTGTATCGAGGAAGGGAAAGTTTCTTCTGTGACTGAGCGTAAGATCGTAACATTCCAGCCAACTGCTGTCTCTCTTTCCTGGATCTCGGTGAATTCACCATTTTTAACAAAGAGTCAGTGGTTGGTTTTTCTTTAGATTTACCACTACTTCCTGTTTTATCCAATGTCTTACTTGTTTTTTGACTGTCGGGTTTTGCAGACACTTCCTTCTTATTTGAGTGTCCTACTGATGCTTCTGGAATGACAGATTCCGGTTGGGATTTATTTGTTGGACTATTCTTCTCTGACTTACTCTCTGTCCTAGTAGAATTCAGCAGTTTCTGTTTCTCACTAATACACTGAACACTCTTCTCAATGTTCTGTCTTATTTTGTCAATATCTTTATTACACTGACTTAACTTTGAAATGTTTCCACTTTTGATTTCTTTCTCTGTTCTTTCCTTAGCACTAGAATCAACAGTTTCTGTTGGCCTGATTTCTTCAGAAGGAATATGTCCTTTCACATACTCCTTACTTTTATCTGATAAGGTCTTTAATTCTTGGTTGATGTTTTCTAATTTTTCCATCTGTTCCATTTTCATTTTCTTTTCTCTCTCTAGCTTTGCTTTCTCCCTCTTCTCTCGGAGTTCTCTACACAGTTTTTCTGCCTTTTCTAACACCCCCTCTCCCCCCTTCTCCTCCCGACCTTTCTTGCCTGACCTCTTGGGTGAGCCAGGTGGAGATCCCTTGTCCCCGTTCTTCTTCTTTTTCTTCAGTATACTTTTCTTCTTCTCCTTCTTCTCTCCTTTCCTTCCACTTGAGCCGCTGGACAGTTCCTCCTTGTCTCCACTACTGGTCACACTGTCCCCTTCCTGCGGGGAGGATTTGTCATCATCATCTTCAAACCTGATGTGAGTATTCTTCGGTCCCTTATCTCCGTCATGTCTACTCCTTCTCTCAGTGGAGTGGGCAGGGGAATTAAATCGTCGTCGTTTATTGGTTCCTTTCTCATAGCTGTCTGACCTATTTCTGTTTTCTTGCATATTGTCGAGGTACCTTTCACTGTTAGGACTTGCTGATCTGGTGTTTGACCTGGTTACTTCCCCTGGGATCCTGAACACAGTGTCTGTATGTGAGTCCAATTTCTCCTGAGGTTTTTCTTTGTTCTTGTTTTCCTGGGTATTTTTCATTTCCCTTTCATTATGCGATGTCTTGCTCTCCATGTTCTTGCTACTTCTATCTCTAAAGCTGTCCTTTCTCAAATTGTTTCTTTGAGGATTCCTCCTGTCCCACCTATTTTGGTCTCTGAATGAGTACTCATTTTGAAATCCATGGTAGTCCTCACCCCATCCCCAAGTTTTTTCAGGAAATCCTGAAGCATTCATTAATTCATAAGGAAAGTTTGGATTAAAGTTATGATTATTATGATGTAAATTATACTGATTCTTTTTACTGCCTGGACCCACATTACCTCTCATTCCTCTTCTATCTATTCCCCAACCATTGCCTTCAAAGTGACCCTGCATGTTGAATTGTACATCACCATAACCCTGCTGTTGGTAGTTCTGGGTAGAAAATTCATTATTCGGTGGAAATCCCATATTCATATCCCACTGATTGTGTTGCATATTCCCATAATTCCCGTTCCACTGAGTCCATGAGGGGTCTTGAAAATTGTTTGCTCTGGAATCTAGCTGGGAATCATCATTATATGACTGGCGCTCCCAATGAGGATTCATAACCCTCTGGCCGATGTTTTGTCCGGGGAGGGAGAAGGACCTCTGGTGACCACCTCCTGACCCCCACCTCCTCTGGTTCGTTCTTTCACTGCGACGCTTTCCCACAGCATTGTTTCTGTTGGATTCTGAGTCGTCAGATACATTGCTACCTCCTTTATTTTTTGCTTGATTAATTTTCTGTCTGTTTCTTTGCTTAGTTTTCTCCTGCTCCTCTTTTTCCCTGGAAAAAAGACAAAATTATATCAATTCAATCTACAGAATTGATAATGTTTATTTCACAATAAGCAAGCACATTACAACTGGTTTCTATCACAAGTCTGCTACAGCTTTGAATTTATTTTAGAGGACAAGGAAAATCCCATACAAATTTTACACTGTATTTTTTCCATACCTGATTCTGGCCATGAGGACGTCTTTCCCCATCAGTAGGTCCTCCTCTTCTCTCTGTCTCCGGCTGTCCTCCATGGCTCGTTTATGCTTCTCCTCATTCAAGTGTTTGCCGTACTCTATTATGTTCGCACACGTCATGAAACACAATGTGCAATTGTGGACACTCCCTCTACAAAATTATTTATTCATTTACTTCCAAGTTCCATCATTTCAAAATCAATTTTCCAAAGATTTTGGTACACATTAAGTGTTCTTTTCATCTTTTAAAATAAAATTAAAATAGACACTATGTAAATGGATTAAATTTATTACTGGAGGATAAAAATATTTTAAGTCTCAAAGTTTTCCTTTGACATACAAGAAAATATGTTACCCAGATGTACTTACTTCTTTTGTTTTTCCATTTTGATATGATGCATTAAGGACCAGTGATGATCTCGGAGTTCCTACAAGAATCAAATAGATGTATATTCAATGTACCCTGTTTAGCACATAATGAGCATCATTTGACACAACATCTAAAGATGCTTCTTATTTCTCCTCATATTCTTATCCTACATACAAACATGTTCCAACTGTTGTAAAATATCAAAATTTGTGAGTTAAATATTTACCGCATCAGTCGAGTAGGAGACGTGACACACATCACATTCATGTGCCTCTCTTTCCTCTTGACTGTCCAAATCCATGGATACATCGGGTAAGTCAACATTAGCCATTTTACCGATGGTACCTAAAAACAGAGGAAAAGGGGCATTTGTAACCTCTCTCAATAATAATCAATAGATTACCAATATATTATATAACACAACATGTCAGCCTTAGCTTTCCTACAGTCTGTGAAGATAATCTTATATTTACTCTTATGAATTATAAGTACTGAGTACAGTATTATTAGAATAATTATTAATTTTCTCCTCTGTGGCAGCTTACCAAATGAGTGATTTGTTTGTGTTTTCATATATATGTAATTAACTAATGAAAGAAGCAATTTACTAATTGATTCTAAATGTTGGATTCAATACTTAATAATAAATCTTTTGTATGGTGCTTTGCTGTGACACCTAATTAATTAATCAATAACAAACATGTCCAGTGAGAGCCATCCAAACAATGATCTTCACATTCTCAAGACATTTATTAAACAGAATGTAAGAATGACAAATTTAGTTTTAAAATTATCAAATAATTTTTTAACTAAGTTTCCTTCAATAAACATGAATTGTATTTAGTAATTACACTATTCAAAGATCAAATACATTTCTTTATTAATGTAAATGGGTTTTTTTTCTCAAAATACATGTTTCTCAATGGTACACCGTATAGTCCATCAACAGTGAACTTGAATACTTTTTTCATAAATTATTCATGTCTCTGTTTAAAAAAAATATTTTAGATTAATGAACTGTACATCAGCACTTGCTTTACTTGGCAGTGCTCATCTATGCACCCGATTACGTTACCGTTAGGATTACGGAACAAGTTTGTGCAGGTGAGACTTAAAAATAAGGTCATAAAATAGGCATCACCGGTCCTTTATTTTCACTTCAAAACAACAGTTTACATGGATATCTTATTGGTCTTAAATGCATGATGTGTATTTTGTAAGTTACCTTTGCGTTACACTTGAATAGCCCTTTAAATCAATTAGTGAATAACACATGCTATTTTGTTTTCGCCGCCATGTTCTTTTCATAGTTAAGTTGATCAAAAACGTACTCGTTCGAGGAATGCCATAATCAATAATTTAAATTTTATAATGCGGTAAATCATAGTCGTGAAACACTTTTTATAAATTTCTATTTTAATTTCGTAATGCACACGTGGAAAATATTAAAAGGGGTGGAGATATTTATTTTTAAAATGATAGTAATAGATAAATTACAAGAGGTCCTTGGGCAACATCGCTCACCTGAGCATTTAGCTAGAATTATTTTAAAAGCAAAAATCAGTTTAGCATTGGAAAGTTTTAATGTATTTGTGGTCCCTACTTTACCCCTAAAAGATAAGCGATAAGATTTAAACGAAATTGAATCCACACTAACTAAGGATGTTTACCAGCCAATACCAGCGGTACATATTTTATTTTGACTTACTGACTTTTTTCCCTACAAGTTTGAACTTTCATTGAGGCCCACTATACCCAAGTGGGGCCATGATTTTAACAAATCTGAATCTACACTATCTGAGGATGCTTCCATCTAAATATGACCTACCATATTGTCACAACTGACCTCAAGTTGTGATGGATTCTTTATAGAATTTACTAACCAAAATAAATAATATTTTGGAAGACCTCCTGTGTACCAAGAAACAACAAGATTTATAAAAATTAACAATAAATTTATCTACATATGTACAATAAACATGAAACCGGCCAAAAGTTCAATCATGGTCATTACTGGACAAATTCACACTCCACACCACGTCCACGGTCCACCATATTGTCCCTGTGGTCCACCATAGTGTCCCGTCCGGTCCACCATATCCAAGTAGCCTTACCACGTAAATAAATCCTCCCGTCCAAATAAAGCTAATATACAATTTTGGTCACTGAGCTGTGGCATTTTACACATTAAAATTATACTGTCGGCCCCCAGGTCTTGCTCTCAACGCCGCTACAAAACATCCCTGAATCCCAAGATCACACAGCAGGGGAAACAGCTAGAACACACCCAAGTTCACACAGCATGGGTTATATAAAAGGCACACCCGCCAAGATCACTAAGCATGGGTAAAGTATAACTCACGGCGTCCAGACCTCTTCTGACAAACACTAGCCAACACCCAGTATAAATAACTGACCAAACTACTCAAACGGGTTCGACGAGTATACGTTGATAAAAATAGCAACAAGTACAACTCAGTGACCAATAGTGCGTAAATGAAATAAACGATAACTCTTACCAATACCTGTACAATAAGCTAATATAAAACATTGACACAATGTCACTTGTGACAATACCTCCCTTCTTAAGACACAAAATGCAATTTTGTGACAAAAATGGAAAACTATGTACACAACAAAGTCTTTATGAATACGAACTTACTCAGGAACAACACGACTGAGAAAATCAGCTCCAATATTATCTACACCTCTAATAACTTCAGTTCTAAAGTTGAACGCTTGTAGAAAAAGAGACCATCTCATCAACCTGCCGTTTGAAGCTTTAGTCTTTTGTAAATGCAGTAGTGGTCTGTGATCTGTCTCCACAACAAACGCACTTCCATACAAGTAAGACTGAAATTTCTGTATAGCCCATACAACTGCAAGACATGCACTCTTTCTCCACCACCGAATAACGTTGTTCTCTGTCTAGCAGCTTCCGGCTTGCGTACACAACAGGAAATGTACGTCCATCATGCTTCTGCATCAGCACTGCACCAACTCCATGATTAGATGCATCGGTCCTTAAGATGAATGGCTTCGTCAAATCTGGTAATCTGAGAATTGGACTGTAGAGCAACATAGCTAGATTTTAAACTCTTGAACGAATTATCATGTTCTTGTTTCCAGTCAAATTTGTTTGGAACACCTTTCTTGGTTAAATCAGTTAAAGGAGCAGCAATAGTGGAAAAGTTTGGCACAAATTTTCTGTAATAGCCAATCAAACCAAGGAAAGATCTAACCTGCTTCTTTGTCTCTGGCCTTGGTGCTTCTTGGATAGCTCTCAACTTCTTGTTGGTTGGCTGTAAGGTACCTCCTCCAATAACATGACCCAAGTACTCTAGTCTCGTCTGCGCTATCTCACATTTGGAGGGTTTTGCTGTTAATTGCGCTCTCTGTAGTCTCTCCAGCACTTTTCTTAGTTCTGTAACATGTTCTTCAAAAGTTTCTGTATGAATGAGAATGTCATCAACAAAACTATCAGTATGCTCTAAACCTTTGAGAATTTTCCGCATTAGCCTATTAAAAGTAGCTGGACTATTTTTCATACCGAAGGGCATTACTTTAAATCTGTACAAACCATCTGGTGTTAAAAATGATGTTAAGTCTCTGTCTTCTTCTCTCATTGGAATCTGCCAATATCCCTTACATAAATCAAGTTTAGAAAAGAAACGACTGTTACTAATTTTAGTCATGATTTCATCTGGATCTGGCATTGGTTCTGGATCAAAAATCGTTACCTTGTTCAAGTTACGAAAATCCACACATATTCTCTGGCTACCATCGGACTTCTTTGCCACGACAATCGAACTAGCATACGGTGATTCTGATGGTTCGATGATATCCATGTCAATCATATGCTGTATTTCTTCTCGGACTGCACTTCTGACTGCATACGGTATCTGATATGGTCTGTTTCTGATTGGTTCTTTGGTAGTGAGATGAACTTCATGCTGGATAACATTCGTTCTACCAGGTAGATCTGTTAAAACTTCCTGAAATTCATGTAAAACATCATTTATGTTTTCAAGCTGATCTGATGACAGTGAATGATTTACCCTGACATCTAGCTGTGAATGATTCTGTTGCTTTCATAGGAAGAAGATGTAACAAATGTTCATTACTTGAGTCCTCTGTTTCCTCCGATTCCAAAACAACACAAGACGCTAAAGTTGTTGGCGAATCTGTGTTCTTTTCCTCTCGAACATTGTATTTCTTCAATAAATTTGCATGAAACAAACGAATATGTCCATTCATATCTATCTGGTAATCAGTTTGTCCTTTTCTATCAACTACTTTGAAAGGTCCTTTCCACTGCATTAAAAGTTTGTTATGGTCTGTTGGAAGCAAAAGAATTACGAACGAAATCACCAACCTTGAAAGATCTCGGCTTTGTTCTTTTATCATACTGTTTCTTGTAATGGTCTTTGGACTTCTGAAGTTCTCTCTGAGCCAGCTCACACGTTCTTGCCAATCGCTCCTTCAGGTCAAGCACATACTGGTAAGTAGTTTTCACTTCCGGGTCCTTCTCCTCCTTTGTCCACAGTTCCTTCAAAACTGCCATAGGTCCCCTAACATTACGTGCATAAACTAGATCAAATGGAGAAAATTTAGTGCTTTCTTGTGGAACTTCTCGATAAGCAAATAACAATGCTGGTAAATATCTATCCCAGTCTTTTGGTCTTTCAGAACTCATTTTCCTTAACATTGACTTCAAAGTACCATTGAACTTTTCTACTAGTCCATTACATGCTGGATGGTATGGAGTTGTTACTAATTGCTTAAATGATAAAAGTCGACCCCCTCTTTCATAATGTTGGAGGTAAATTGCGTACCCATGTCTGACAGTACTTCTTTTGGAATGCCAACTCTGCTGAATATCTCTACCAACGCTTCTGCCACCGTCTCTGTATCGATGTTCTTCAATGCAACCGCCTCTGGATACCTAGTACTGTAATCTACAACAGTCAAAATGTATCTATTGCCTTTGTCAGTAATTGGAGAAAGCGGACCTACCAAATCTACGGCTACCCGTTCAAATGGTGTATCAATAAGTGGCATTTTCTCCAACGGAATCTTCGTCACTTTGCCCTTAGGAAATGTTCTTTGGCATATGTCACATGATTGGCAATATCTCGTCACGTCACCCTGGATTCCAGGCCAATAGAAATTCGACATGATGCGGTCTAGAGTCTTCTTTGTACCAAGATGTCCGCCTAGGATACTGTCGTGCGCAATCTTCATAACTTTCTGTCGCAAAGGTTCTGGAACAACAAGTTGTTTATACAGTTTTTGATCACTAACCTTTTTTGAATGATAATGTCTGTACAACAGTCCTCTTTCAACACTAAACCATGTCTCTATATTTTCACCTATGTTCTTCTTTCTGCCAGTCGCTGCATGCTCACGATACACTTTCAAGGAAGAATCGTCCATCTGAAGTTGTTTCATCTGATCAATTGTCAAATCAGTATCCACTAAATCTGTAACTTTTAGCTTTTTCATACCTTTGTCTTCTTTTTTCTTTTGATTCCTTGTCTGTACTGCTTGAAGAACTTGATTACACTCTTCTCTTTCGTCCTTTCTACACAACTGTGGATCAGGATCCGTCTGATTTCTGGCACCATCGATGTTACCTATGATAAGATCGTAAACAGGTTCTTTCATACATAAAGCATTGATATTACCTGTGAAGTAGGGAGTGTCCACATAGATAGAAGCCTCCTCTACTGTACGAACTGTGCCGTCTATCAGAACACATCTCTGCACTTGTCCAGTCAGCTGATCATCTGTAACCAAATCTCTCTTCACAACAACACCACTACAACCTGAGTCTCTTAACACTTTAACAAAGTTCTCACCAACATAACCCATAGCAACGGGCATCTTTTCACAAACCTTACAGACACCTCCAATAACAGGTAATACGTGTCCACATGCAAGTTTAACAAGTCCATCTGTGACACAACACTGCAACAGTTTATGTTGGGGAATGCATGCTGATCCTATGTGAGGCTGATTTTGATGCGATATTGCGTTGTCCATCCTGACTTCAGCAGAATTCTGTAAGTTGGAACTAGAATTGTCATTAGATTTTATGCAATTCAACTCACAGTTATGTTGACTCTGTAACATTGCAGCCTTTTGAGTATTGTGTGAAGTAGGTACTGCTCGAGGAATCTTCTGCTTGGAGAAACAGTTTCTTGCCAAATGTCCACTTTTCCCACAGATGTAACATTTTCTTTCACCTTTTTGCTGTAGTGATCCTTGGTACATCTGTTGCTTTTGAATGGATCCA